ATCCTTCTTCTTCTCCTCTTCCTCCTCCACCTTTCCATTGACATCTCGTTCGTGTTCGGCAGGCTCGCTTCATTTTTGCTTCTTTCTGGCACGTGTGCTATCGTTACGCGATGAATCCCACCAGCCCTCGGGGCGTAGGTAGAGCGGCTCCTCGTCCAATCCCTCCCCTTCGGGGAGGGGTTTACCCCTCCCGCTACTCCCTCCCCTGGACCTGGAAAAGGGGGGGGTGCGAGGCGTTGGAGCGTCCAAGATGGCCCAACATGGCTCCAAGAGGGCCTCAGAGAGCCCAAGATGACTTCCACGACGGCCCAAGATAGCCCACGCTGGCAATATGGCTCCCAAGATGCTCCAAGAAGCCCCAAGACCGCTCCAAGTCAGCTCCAAGTGACCACGGGGCCTCCCCAGGAGGCCGCCAAGAGGCCATCCACCCTTCAAAAACCGACGGAAAATCAATAATGTGTGCCTTCTCGCCTTTTCGCTTCCGATGCCCTTCCGAGGCCTCTAGACAGCTCCAAGAGAGCCCCAAAAAGCCCCAAGAGAGGCCCAAGAGGGCCCCAAGACGGTCCCAAGTGCGCCCAAAAGCGCCCCAACAGCGCTCCAAGAGGGCTCCAAGAGACGGTTCTAGGCACTCTAGAGGGGTGAGGCAAATTGGAGCTCCTCCCTGCTTTAAGCGATCTCCGCCAAGATGGCGCCATACAGCGATCTCCCAAGATGGCCCCAAACGCCTCAAGAGGACCCCAAGAGGCGCGCAGGAGGCCCCAAGAGGCGCCCAAGCGGGCTCCAAGAGGCTCCGAAGACCCCAGAGAGGCCCCAAGAGGCTCCCGCAGGCACCAAAGCCGCTCCAAGAGGCCCCCGGACCGCCAAGAGGCTCCAAAGACGCTCCAAGAGGCCTCCCAAAAGCTTCCAAGAGACACCCGAGGAAACTCTGAGACTCTGGATGGGCTGTGGGGGATACTTTGCTAGTCGCAGCTGCAGGCTAACGAGCCGACAGCGTCAGTAGAGTAGCACGGGCCGCGAGCACCCTAATTGCCGGCGCGCGCGCTGCACAGGCAGACGAAACCTACCGCCGAGGGAAGCTGCGCCGGGGCTGAGCTGTGCCGAGAGGTGGAAGCTGCCAGCTGCGGAAGCGTCGGGGAGTTGCAACGTGCGAATACCATGGGAGCGAGATCGCCAGGCACGGGAATTAGTCCTTGTCGCGACTGGGCGCCAGAGGACAGAGAGGCAGACCGCCAGGCTGGTGGGGATACTTTTTTGGTCGCAGCCGCAGGCGAGAGCGCAAGCGGCGAGTCGTAAGTCCGGGGCGCGGGCCTACTAATTAAAACAGGAGCAAGCTAGAGCCGCGCAACCTAAACAACTAAGCTGCCAAAGCGACGCCTCAGAAGCTGCAAGCTGCAGTGAATGTGGATGCCAAGGCCGGGGCTGGTGGGGATACGCGAGGCGTCAAGAATTGCCAGAGAGCTATCTCGGCAAAAGGCCGGGATCACTTTTCACGTTTGGCGAAAGGGGCTCTATCTACGGAGGGAGGACCCGCCCAAAAGCGTCAAAGCTGCCATGTGTGCGCGCGAGGAAGGACTTGGCTTAGGCCGCGGCGGTTCCTTTATAGCGTTTCTGCGGTAGTGCATCTGCGACCTCTGGACAACATTGGGCGCCCGAGTTATCCGGGGTAACTCGGGCCCGGGGCAACTCGGGTTCGGATTCCCGAAAGACGAACCCGAGATAGCCCTGACCCGAATTATCCCTGATGATTTGGGGCTCTGGACGCCCGAGCTATCCGGGGTAACTCGGGCCTGGGGCAACTCGGGCTTGAATTCCCGAAAAACAAACCTGAGTTAGCCCTGACCCGAGTTACCCCTGATGATTCGGGGCTCTGACAACAATCAGATTGTCCGGCTCCTCCTCCTCCTCCTCCTCCTCCTCCTCCTCCTCCTCCTCCTCCCCCCTCCTTCTGCTCCTCCTCCTCCTCCTCCTCCTCCTCCTCCTCCTCCTCCTCCTCCTGGAGGCCGCCTCGTCAATGCGGCGGCGGTCCGCCGGCGTCAGGAAGGTCGGGCGCAGATCCCGCTGGACCTTGGGCGGTGGGGCCTCGCGCCGGAGGAGCGCAGAAGGGAGGAGAGAGGAAGGGAGGAGGGCGGGAGGGAGGGAGGGAGGAGGGAGGCAGGACGACCTCTCATCCACCACCTCCTCCTCTTCCTGGTCCTGCTCCTCCTCATCCTCCTTCTCGTGCTGCTGCTTATCCTCTTCGTCCTCCTCCTCTGGCTCACCCTCCTCCCTGCTCCTTCTGGCACGTAGCCGCTCTCCTGCTGCTTCAGCTTCCCAACGTCCTCGTCGTCCTCCTCGTCGTCGTCTTCCTCTCCTCCTGCTCCACTTCCCCTTTCCCGCCATCCTCCCTGTGCTGCCCCTCATGCTCATCGCCAGACGCTGCTCCAGGCGTTCCTCGCCTTTCTTCTCCTAGATCCTGATTCTGCTCTGCGCGAAGATGCAATATTCCGGATGCTCCTCGTTTAGAAAAAATCACCCTTGGGGTGCTTGCACTCCGAGATGTTCCCAAGTACAGTTCCAAGATAGCGCTCCACTTCTTGTCTTTTAGAGTCCTTGGCTGGAATCGTCGTCCCGATCCTGAGCCCGAGGAGGTCCTGGATCCTGGCGACGTACCCGACCCTCTCCAAGCATGTAGCGGCTATACCCAGGACGGCTCAATACGAACGAACATGCCGAGCCACCCGCAGTGCGCAAGAGCACCCCTCCGTGCGCAGGGAGCCGCCCGGGTCTGCGTGGCCCTCCGCTGCGCTGGGCCTCTCGGGAGCCCACGAAGGTGGCGACGACTGCGCAATTCGCGGCCCGCCGTTTGGCCTCGAGGGCTCGGCTGGGTCTGCGTGCTCCTCCACTCCGCTGGGCCCCCCAGGAGCTCACGAAAACGGTGAGGATGTTGCACTTCGCCCCGCAGGGAGCCGCGGGGTCTCGGCAGAAGCTGCGTACTCCCCTGTTCCGCCGTGCCTCCCAGGAGCCGGCGACGGTTGCGCACTCCGCAGCCCCCCCCCCCCCCAAGAGAACCGCGAGGTCTCGCCCCCACTCTGCTGGGCCTCCCAGGAAACCACGAAATAGGCGACAACTGCGCACTTCGCAACCCCCTGGGGAACCGCAAGGTCTCGGCTGGGTCAGCGTACTCCCCCACTCCGTCGGGCCTCCCAGGAGCCCATGCAAATGGCGACGGTTGCGCATTTTGCGTCCTCCCCTCAGGGAGCCGCGAGGTCTCGGCTGGGTCTCTCCCAGGAGCCCACGAACATGGCGACAATTTCGCACTTCGCAGCCCCCAGGGAGCTGCGAGGTCTCGGCTGGATCTGCGTACCTCCCCCCGATTCGCTGGACCTCCCAAGAACCCACGAACATGGTGACAAATGCGCACTTCGCAGCCAACCAGGGAGCCGCGAAGCCTTGGCAAGATGTGCATACCCTTGGCGAGAGTTGTGTCTGCGTGCCCCCAATATGGCGCTGGGCCTCCCAAGAGCCCACGAAAGTGAACACGGTCGTGCACGTCGCAGCCCCCCAGGTAACCGCGACGTCTAGGCTGGGTTTGCGTACTCCCCCACTCCGCTGGGCTTCCCAAGAGCCCACGAAATAGGCGACAATTGTGCACCTCGCAGCCCCCCAGGGGGCCGCGATATCTGGGCTGGATCTGCGTACGCACGCACTCGGCCAGGCATCCCAAGCGCCGACAATAGTACCGACGGATGGGCACTTCGCAGTTCTCGAACAAAAAGGGCCGTGAGGTCTCGGCTGGCAATTGGGCTCCCCATGAGCCCACGACCGCGGCGACGGTCGCGCACGCCGCAACCCCCTTTTCTGGGGAACCGCGAGGTCTCGGCTGGGCCTGTGGAGTTCCCCCCTCCGTCGGGCCTCCGGGGAACCCAGGAAAATGGTTCTTGGCAGCCCCCCCCCGGGAACCCAGGAAAATGGGTCTCGGCGAAATTACCATGTGACGTACCCAACCCAGTTGCATCAAGTGACAAGAGGATTGGCCCAAAGCTGTCAGGACAATGTCAGTGCAGGCGCCGTGCGAGCTACATTGGATGCGCTCACGTGGCACGGTTCACAGGACAACAGCAGAAGGACGAGGAGCGAGGACCCAGGCTTGAGGGACATGGGGGCGGGAACGAAAAGCACGAGAAGGACGCGTGGGGGGCCGACCTGTCAGCGCGGCAGCAGCAGAGTGAAGGTGGCAGGGGGCAGAAGACAACGACGAAAATGACGGGAGGAGACAGAAGTGTGTTGCTTTTGTCGGTGGTACGCTAAAGATGCAGCGTTGCCTGCGCTATGCCGCCGCGGCGCTCGACACAATGATTAGACCTGAAGTCGTGCAAGAAGCGAGCGAGGCCCAGCCCGCCCGTCAGCTTCCCTGATTCCTTTCTGCACTTTTCAGTGCGGGAACTCAACGCTCGAAGGCGCGCCGCCAGGTCTGCGGGCGGCCCGCGACACCGCCCCGCTGGACTCCCCCAGCAGCCCTCGAACGCGGTGACAGTTTCGCAAATCGCAGCCCCCCAGGAACGGCGAGGTCTAATCTGAGTCTGGGCGGTGCGTCACTCGGCTGAACCCCCCAGCAGCCGTCGAAAGTGGCGACAGTTTTGCACATCGCAGCCACCCAGGGATGGCGAGGTCTAATCTGAGCCTGGGTGGTGCCTAACTCCATTGGACCCCCCAGCAGCCATCGAAAGTGGCGACGGTTTAACAGATCGCAGCCCCCCAAGGATGGCGAGGTCTAATCTGAGTCTGGGTGGTGCCTCACTCCGCTGACCCCCAGAGTAATGGAATTCTGTTCGGCGGAGCAGTAGACATGTTGACGTCGTCGACGAGGATGAGGCTGTGGGAGCTCGGGTTGGCTGGAACGCGAACCGAAGAAGCCAAACGCGCCGTGCTGAAACTCGCTTTGTCTTCTGCATTAAACTCGTGATTGTGGGCGTTGAAGATGGTCGTCCCAAAAGTTCTTCAGAATCCTGGCGTAGTTCGCAGGTGCGTCCCGGACCATCAGGGTGGAATTCGCGGCGTGGCCGCTGGCGTTCAGGGAGTTGATTTTGGCGCTTGCCGTAGGGGACGAGGAAGCCGACTCCACCCGTGGTCTCTGAGCTGCCGTCGACACGGAGCGATGCGACTTGTATGGATGATGAGTCGGCGAAGATCTAGGTCCTGGAACGCGATCATCGCGCGCTGCCTCATGCGCGGGATAAAGACGGACCGTTTGGCAGGCCGTATGGCAGCTGATTGTCCGAGAATGCAGGGGGAATTTCATGATGCTACATCGAGGCCCTCTCCTCGCCATCGCACGGGTGTCCATTTCCTGTGCATTTTTCAATCACGCGCGCAAGTTATTGGCAAGATGATCCAGGACGCTCCTCCACGGTTCTCGCCAGGGATAACTCGCGCACGCGTCCTAGCGATGCCAAGCTCTTGAGCGGTTTCAAGAACCACGCGGGCCATCTTGTGCTTGACCCACTGCGCTGAAGGCTGTGGGTCTGTGAAGGCTGCTGCATGTTCCTCCCCCCGTTGAAAAACTGAGACCGACGAGGAACGCCAGCAGGAGCAGCAGCGTCGGACCAGGTGACCGTATGACTCTGCGGGAGAGTTGCCTGCGGTGGCTTTGACGGTGGGGTTAAGGCTGAGCAGGAGGTAGCCATTGAATCTGAAACCACGTTAACTGAGGAGCGGGAACTTGGCAGTGATGAGCTTCCCGACCATTTGGACTTAAACATCTACTCGGACCATTTTAGGGGACTTGTCTGCGGATGCGTAGAGCGAGGTAGGTCATTCTGCTGTGCCGATGCTTGCCCGACTCGAAGGGCTCTGTGCAGGATGACAGCGCCAAGACGCGCGAACACATCACCGCCATTGAGTGTACAAGAAATTCTTGCAGCAGGACCACTGGAGTTGATCCTGATAGAGTGAAAGCCCACGGTGGCAACGACGAACCATTTCGTGGGGGAGGCGTCGAGGGCGGCAACGTTGAACTCGGAACTCGCTCCAAAACCAGACGGTACCGCAGCTGGGGTCTCTCTGTTCTAGTTGCCGAGGGGGTCGATGCTGACAGCGTGGCGCATGGCTTCGGCAACTGCCAGGGTACGTTTGATGGCAACGACGTGGTCGGTAAAATCATTGTCGAGTCTGTCAGCGCTGCCGGCACGTCACTCGATGTCGGCGATGCCTCGTTCACTGTGTTCTACTCAGCTCAAGGGTTCGGCGGTCGTCTTGGTGGTCGAAGCGAGGAACTGAGCTTGGGCCTCAGCAGTGACTCATTTAGCGGAATTAGCGAATGCGGCAGCAGCAACGTTCACTTGTCATTGTACAAGAACGTGTAGCTACAGTAGGAGCCCGACCAGATGTAGCCTTCTGCAAGAAACTCAAACCTGAGACTCCAGGATGTCCATTGATTTCTGGCGTGGGCAAGTCACGCCTTTCACAGCAAAAACCTCGAAACTCAAGAAACCCTGGGCACCCTGGAGGCAAGCAGGGTGCTTGGCACGGGCCCCCCACGGTATTTCCGATGATGAGCTGGGATGGGTGCAGCAGCGGAGTTGCCAGCGCCTTCAGCCCACTGGTCGAAGCCGTGGTGCTGTTTGGGCCCAGTAGGCGCAACTTGTTCTCCAGGTGGTGCATGGGCTCCAGCGACAAGGGCCGCCGATGCCGCCCCTTGAAAAGAATCTCCCATGAGAGTTCGGCTGTGCACTGTGATGGGACGGCCGCGTAAGCCGTGGGAATTAGCGCGTCGATGAAGATGCCGAAGGAAAGAACATCCCTGTCCGTGCCGCAGACCAGCGGTGTCCGTGAAAAGCCAGCGGGCTACGGAGGAGGAGGAGAGGAGGAGGAAGAGGAGGAGGAGGAGAGGAGGACGATGAAGAAGAGGAGGAAAGAAAGGCGAAAAGGAGGAACATGATGAGGGACGACGCAAACAATGACGGGTGTTGCACTCTACCGCGCGCAAGGTCTGACCTGACTCTGGCCATGGGCCCTCGACCCACGGGAAAAGGAGGAGGACGACGAGGATGATGACGATTGGAAGGATCAGGAAGAAGAGGGTACGTGGGAAATGGGCGCCTTTTGCGTACTTAGCATGAAGGAAACGGGCTTTGGGGGAACAAGGTCCTGAATTCGTTTCGCCGCGCACGAGCCCCAGCACCGTGAACAACGACTCGGGACAAGCAAGTGGCCCCGAGGAAGCCCACGCGCTCTCGTCGATGTGCGCACGGGGCCTCTCGAAGGTCCAGCAGGCCCCGATATAGCACGATGGATTGGCCTGATTCTCCGAGGTGCGTGGGGCACGCTTCTTCGACCAGCTTGCCTGCTGGTCCAGGACGCCGGCTCTCGCGGTCGCCGCTCACTGCGTGCTGGGGAACACGGGCCGCTCCCTGGGAAGACCGCGGGGGAGCTGGAAGACACGGCACGGCCCGCCTCGAGGCCCCAGTCGTGCACCAGCGGCGCCTCCGCGTCCGGGCGCGTGTCCCACATGAGCTCCTCCACCTTGGGGCCCCGTCCTTCCTCTCGCCCATCGCCTCCCATCCTATCCCGTCTGCCCTCTCCCCTCCCCTCTCTCCGGGCAGTAGCTCAACGTGAGTACTCCTCTTCTCTGTCTCCGTCTCTGTCTCTGTCTCTGTCTCTGTCTCTCTCTCTCTCTCTCTCTCTCTCCCTCTCCCCTGCTCAGTTCCCTTGCACTTGCCATAGCTCGGACGTCCATTTCACGTGCTTTTTCTAGCTTCGTACGATTATTTTTCGCAAGATAGTCCAGGTTGCCTCTTCGATGGTCCTCGCCGAGGAAAAATGCACACGTCCAAGCGTTGCCAAGCGCACTGGCCTGCACCTCCAACGCGCGTATACCACTCCAATCCTCAGTATAGGGCTGGTATATCTCGCGCTACACCTCCACCTCACTTCCCGACTCCCACTCCTTAGTTCTTCCCCTCATGCTCATCGTGCCCAAACTTACACACTCTCCCAAAGAGCGACAATCGGGGAGCTATCACGGCCCCGTTCGCGCCGAGACTGTCAGGATCTATCAAATATAACGGTCGCTTGAAGGGGCGGACGTGCCTGCATTCAGGGCATCAAGGTCGTCGCGATGCAGCACGCATAGCACTTGGCCCATCCAAGGGGGAACCGACCGTCGGGGTATGACACGGGCATGTTCGCGCCCAGATTGTGGGGACCGTCCAGACGCTCCAACTACGATCCCCTCGCGAATGCACATGCTTACTCACACTCCGATCCAGACACTTACAAGTCCAGTCATACCCTGAGTCTACCATATCCAGACACAAATGCTCAACCATACTGGCACCCGGACCCATTCACACCCAGGCGCTCATACGCAGACTCGACCATAAAGTTGTGTCCAGGATCCGCCACCAAATTCTGACATCAGAAAGAACGCAATATACAACGTGTGTGATCACCTAAGGGTCTCCGCGTGGAACAATTTCACAGAGGACTTCAAGTGGTGGCTCCTCCCCGTTCAATGTTTGCACAAAGGGGCCCTCGCTTGTCCTACTCTGGAGCATCTGAATCATAAACTGTTATGTAAATGTCTCACTTTTGATTCCACCGCCATCCGCCCACGAGAAGATGTACCGAAAGGTGAAGCCCCGAAAGGGATCGCCTGGTGACCGCACTTTGGGGATGCGATCCCACTGGGTCCCGCTGGCCACAGTAGATGCAGAGAGTAGGGGGTAAAGAAGGGAAATAGTGGACTGGGGGACGAGAGTAGGAGTAACACACATGGGAATTAGACGGTAGAGGCACGACGGTAGTGAGTAGAGGAAGGAGAAGACATGCCATATCATCAAGCATCGTACATATCATGCACAGGGTCGGGAGTAGGAGTGTGGAGTATATAGTACATACCGCACCACCAAATGTTGATCGTATAGAGTACTTTGTAGGGATGAACACTCGATGGCGACGGGACGGGAGCATACCGTATGGCTAACCGACGAGATCAATGACATTCAAACATACACGAGCTATCGTGCTATCCAAGGGGGGGGGGCGCTTATCGTAGGGAAACAGGAGTGCGGGGTAGAAAGCAGAGTACATCCACTATAATCTTGGCTATATCATGGTATGTAATAATCTTGTAGACGCTGGACAGAAGGCATCCATGGTAGCGAATGGAGAAACGTGCACGCACATAGCATATACATATATGTATATGTATACGCATATATACGTATAGTTTTAGAAATAGGTATATATACACACATATATGAGAGAGCGTGATCCACCGCCGCTTTACTGTGGAAAATTGCCGCCCTTTTCCTCCGGAACCCGGGGGTCCCCCCCCCTCCGAAAATCCCCCCCCCCTGCTGGAACACCTCCCCCCCCCCCCTTCTCTTCCCTGGCAAACCCCCTCCCCTCCCCTAACCCCCCCCCCCCTTCCCCTCGAAAACTGGGGGGGGGGGTCACTACCGGTTCGAAACCCCCCCCCCCCTCGAAAACCGGAGGGGGGGGTCACTACCGGTTCGAACCACTGAGCTGTCCCACTGTTCCCCCACCTACCACTGTCCCCACTGTACCTCTGTCCCATTGTCCCACCGCCGTCCTCGCCACCGCCTTCACCACTGTCCCCACCACCACTGTACCCTCCACTGTCCTACTGTTTCCACCACATTCCCACTGTCCCCACACCACTGTCCCCACCACCACCGTCCCCACCACTGTCCCACTGTCCCCACTGTTCCCACCATTGTCCTCACCATTGTCCCCACCACTACCGTCCCCACCACTGTCCCACTGTCCCCACCACTGTCCCGCTGTCCCCTCACCACTGTCCCCACCACCACCGTCCCCACCACTGTCCGCACCCCCCCTCGGTTTTCGAGGGGGGGGGGGGTTCGAACCGGTAGTGACCCCCCCTGGTTTTCGAGCTCGAGGGGGGGGGGGTTCGAACCGGTAGTGACCCCCCCCCTTTTCATGATGAGCTGGGGGGGGGGTTCGAACCAGTAGTGACCCCCCCCCGGTTTTCCGGAGGGGGGGGGGAGGGGTTCGAACCGGTAGTGACCCCCCCCGGTTTTCCGCTAGCAGCGGTAGAACATGCTCTTTCACATATCTCTCTCTCTATACATGTATAGTTTTAGAATTATGTACAGATATATACATGTATACACATACATATCGGAATGCAGGCGCCGAGCGTTCATTATTGTTCATCGGTGCGTGGCATAAATGGCGCTTCGTTTCCTTAACCCGCGCCCCACCCAGGACCCACTCGCGACCTACACCGCGCTCGAACCCTTACTCTTCTTGGCAACCGCGGGGTGCTACGCAAAGTGAACGCATGCACATGTACTGAGACTCGTGGGAGAAAGTAGGGCTAGTAGGAATAGCGCAGAATATCGGAACGCCGTTTGAGTCCCATGCGCTGGTTTGATGTTGCAAGCGCCTTTCACTCGTATCGCCCCGAAGTCATTCGGACAGCGCTTTCGCCACAGCATTCGCTACGATCTGGAACGCTCTGTAAACTTTAAGTAGGGCCGATTCTGGAAACCCTGGCCCCGCAACGCATCGACGTCTCACTTTTAATGTTAGGTCGGGCATGTCCTCCTCCAGGCGGATTTTGGAAGAAAAACGAAAAATAATCTAACAATATACAAGATGGTCAAGAACTGTCAAACAAATCGTCCCCTGACCGTTGTTGGACTATTTTCAAATATTCCTGCTGTAGGGGGCCATGCCCGACTTAATTTTATTTCCGCCGTCTTCCACCGCAAGGGCCGCAGCTGTTTTCCTTCCGCCGCCCCCCACCGCCTTCCTCCCAGGGCGGGGCGTGTGCCGACGGCAAGGTCCTTTTTGGAACGCGCATTGCGAAAACCACTCTGCTCTGATCCCTGCCCACTCTGCGCGTCTCGCAGCCCCTCCCATGGTCCCATGGGTATCCCCAGAGGAAGTCGCAGGCTCCTTGGCGCCCGCGCAAGTACCCAATCAGCCCCATCCTTACTCCTCCTGATCCTCTTCCTCATCCTTTCGGGTTCCGTGGATCTGGCGCGTGAGCGCCAGGTCAACAAATTGGGGGAAGCCCCCCCGAAACGCAGAAAGCCCGTGCCGACTTATTTGGCGACGGAGCGCGTCGATTACGTCGGTTGTGTATGCAAGCGGGGCCCGTCGCTAATCCACGCACCTTAATCCATGTTGCGTTCCCTCGATTCTCCTCCTCCTCCTCCTCCTCCTCCTCCTCCTCCTCCTCCTCCTCCTGCTCCTCCTCCTCCTCCTCCTCCTCCCCCCCCCTCCCCCTCCTCCCCCTCCCCCTCCTCGTCGTCGTCGTCCTCCTTCTCCTCCTCCTCCTCCTCCTCCTCCTCCTCCTCCTCCTCCTCCTCCTCCTCCTCCTCCTCCCATTCTCCCGCATCTGCGCCATCAGCGTCTTCGTCGTCATCCTCCTTCCCCGCCGTCCGTCTCATCATCATCGCCCCCCTCCTCCCCGTGCCGCGGGGCGCTCGCCAGCAGCCAGGCGAGCTCTTCTGCATCCGAAGCTCGTCACACGGGCCCCGCTGCCCTGCCAGCGACTCAGCCCGGGCCGAGGGGGGTCCACCCCACGAGGGTGCGACTGTGCCTCAGCGCCAGACGGGACGCTCACGGAGGACCTCTCCCCCCTCGGGCCCCCGGCAGAGTGCGGCGCCAGGCAAGCGCAGGCTCAGCTCGGTGCTGCTGCTCCTCCTCCTTCTCCCGTTCTCCTCTTCCTCCTCGTCCCCCTCCCTTCCTGCCACTCCGAGCGGCTCGAGAGAGGGGGTCGAAGGCGGCCCTGGACCTTCTGCTCGCGGGTAAACACCCAAGAACAGTAGAGACCCTCTAATTGTTTTGGGTTTTGAATCACCTCGATCGGAGTTGCAGAGGCGGGCGAGCATCGCCACGCTATGCCTCCTCCACTTTCCTACGGAGCGTCGTCGGGCAACTTGATGGCGCCTCCAAGTCTGTTTATCCTGTTTACGCTTCCTCCAGATCTGTCTCCCGCGCCCCTGTCTCCTCTACTCCCCCGCTTGGGGAAACCAGAAGATACTGATACCCCTACTCCCCGGACCTCTCCCGAGGTGCGCTCTGCCCAGAATCTCGAGGCGAATCCAATGGTGGCGACGAGGGCCTCCCTGGAGGCTGAAAAACAAGTAAAACGACGCAAGGGTAGCGGTATCGGCACCTCCTCCTCTTCCTCCTGCACCATCCCGAGGCGCAGCCAACCTCGCGGGCGGGACGCACACCCGCATCCATGACACGGCCAGTAAGCGCCCCCGCCACAGACCTTTGCCTCCTCTGACCGCTGCCCCCCTCTGGGGGAGCCCCGATGCCTCGACACCGGTCTGCCCGCCTCGCGCGCGGTGGTGCTCGCTCGTGCGCGCCGGGTCTCTCCCGCCCAGGCGCCGCGGTGGCCTGCCCGCGTCTCTCCTGCCCTTGCCGAGGCTGCCGCCCCGTCTGCACGAGGCAGTTGGCCAAGCACTGCAGGTGCCATCGAAGGGTCGAGGCCCGCCCGATCCCACCCGGGC